ACGAGACTGCAGAAAATGACCAAACAAGTACCCTTGAGCCCTCTGGCCCTCTCTGGCAATGTGCTATAAAATCCTACACTAAAAACTGTTCAGTCTTAGAATTATGTTTTGCAGCATGAATTCCAAACCACTGTTCTATAGCACCTGCAGAGCCCATCCACGATCATTTCATAATCATATGGCAATTATATGACATGAGACAGAGATCTAATTTCCATTCTAACAGTAATAACCATCTCCTAAAACTAGGCTCTTTTTAAATCTGTTGCTATTTCTAAAAGCACCATGCAAGAAAAGGTCTGAATTTTTAAGTTGATTTTCCTTACATATTCAAACATGAGGGTATTTCAAGATGAATAGAAGAAATTTCATACTTTGCCAATATATTTAAAAGTTTGGTGTAACAACCTGAGGATTAATAACCCTCTCAGCTTGACATCCATCCAGTGCAAAGCATTTTATTTCAAGAAAGCTATCTTGATTTTTTTTTCAGGTTTTAAATTTTCCTGGGGAAAAGAAAAATCTATACTACTTGTGTATTATTTATGAACTTTGGTAGCACTTGTGGAACTAAACAAAAATTTGATTAAGAAATTAGAAGTCTCCACAGTCATCACTGTAATGATTGAATAGATTAAAACCTGAGCAATTGACAGTCTTGGAAACCCTCATAAGTGGGGACTCATCATCAAGAGGATGTCACTGAGCCTTCAGGGTCACTCCTGGGCTCTGTGCTGGGTTGGTTTCCCACCATTGTTTTCTTTCAGGATTCAGCCCATGTCTATAAGCATGCTAATACTTTGATAATATATTTTTATGGAAGTATTGAAACACATAATGCTAATTCATGAGGTCAGGGTGGAGCTTCTATTGCTTAGGTCATACTAAAATCAAGTCCACAGACAAATATCCTCAGATTTGCTTCCCTGAAGTTTGTTAGACCACATCTTAATAGTGTTATCCAAATCATGGATTAGGGAAAAGCCAAAGAACATATGTTTGTCACATCCTGTTTGGATGATACCAACAGAGACACAAACAGAACAAGCAGATTTTGGCATGAAATGAAAGGTATTTTTGTTAACCTCACAGTTGTTAAAGAACATGTCAGTTACCACTTGGACTGAGTAATTTAGTTCCATATTTTGACCATTAAAGTGTCTTTAATAACCTTTGCAAAATGTGATTTTGAGGACAATCTTTAAATATGTGATATCTGCTTTTTAACAGAACATACATAGAACAATTGCTTGATTCGCCGCTGTTCAAATAACCAGCTTATTTTTTCATTTGCGGGAAATAAGATTTTTCTACCTGCTTTATTTTAAAGCTTTTTGGGATATAAAAGCTTTCTGCTCAGTCATTAACTGTAAATTGCAGAATGAAGCAGTACCCTACAGCATTTCCAGATGAAGGAGTCTGTTTATACAGAAAGCACAAGAGCTATAATTACTACATGATCACATTTGTATATCAAGGTCAGCTTTCTGTGATTCACAGTATTGTTTGGACATAAAGGGAGTTGATTTTCAGCATGGTGGTGCACAACTACTATTGTTACTGTATCAGTGACTGTAGAAACCATATTAACTTTTGCTTGTTTGAGTTTTTCTAGTTAGGCTAACTCTATGGAATATGGAAAATATGGGCTGGCTAGTATTTGCCCTAAAATAGTGATTAGACATGAAAAAATATGGATTTATATTATTGCTACTCAGGTCATATAGTCTATTATGAAAGAAAAAAAGTCCTCTAAAACAAAAAAGCAAGGTAAAATAGGCCATTAAAAGACTTACGCATTAAATCACACAGAGTTTAAGCAATATCAAATGCAGGTAATTAAAGCATGTAAAAAATATTTCTGGATATTTTCCTCTCTTCTGCAAAATCCCTGCATGATTTTCTTCTTGATTATTACCCAATACATTGGCAATTTTTATATTCGCTTCCTGAGAATCGATTAGCTTTCCACAACATTTACCCTGTTCTAAAACCTTAAAAATATAGGGATTCAACTCGTTATACTTATTAGTTACACATTAGGATTAGTCAAGCACTTAGATTGTACCAATTAATCCAATATAATTGTATGTATTTATAACTAGGCACAAGAACAAATGTTTTCCTCATCTAAGGACTAATAGAATCTGCTATTGTATTACTATATTGTGTCTGGTTGTCACCCAGCTGCCATTGATGTCACCCTGTTCTTTGTTAGGCCCCCTCCTTGCTTAAGCCCCACTAGATTTTCTCTTTTCAGGTGTAGGTATTCCCATGTGAAATGCAATCATATTTCTCCAGTTTTCATTGTTCTCTATATGTTCTGGGCTTTTATATTTCATATCCACTCCCTGCTCCCACTCACATACTGTCATATATAAGGATTTTTCACAAATCTGTTATGTTACCTCCACATTGACAAGGAGAGTCAGGGAGCATTGTTTTTGTTTTTTTTGTGGGGGTGAGAAGAAGAGTCAAAATGCCATCTTGACACAGCCCAAATTCTAGTACTGTCATCAGGTCAAGGGTTTCAGAAAAGCTGTATTTAGCCTCAAAAGACTCTTTGCCCAGATAATGGGTGTATGGCTTGAGGAATTTGCCATCTGAATAATGCCCTAATAAATTGTCCAAAGTCACTGAGTTAGTGTTGAACTCACATGAGCACTTTCATCACTAGGCCAGCATTCCTCTCTCTAGGAGAGCCACATATGTTTCCTTCTCAGTATTGTTTCTCATCAATCAATGATGATAACTTCAACCAACTTGATTTCTTTATAAAAATTTCTCTGGATTTCTTTGCTGTTTTATTTATTTGCTGATTGCTCTTGTATCAATAGGCCCCAAAATGAGTTGGAGACCTAGAAAGGGATCATGATCATTCTATAACCAATGAGATGTAACCAAAAATGCTCATAATGTCATTTATACCAAATGAGCAATTAAATAATATTCAGTAGTTTATTATAGCAGACATAAAGAGATACTGTGTCTTTTTAGACTTATGAAAAATAAATTGCCATCCCTTTAAAATTTAGTTCAATGTCAATCATAGTTACTTGTAAACTTAGGTCAGCATCCGATTTAGAAAATAATGAGCCATTTTATATTTTTTATTTCGTGCTTTGATTTGAATAACATAAACCTATGATGATGGCGACTTTTTTGCCTACAAAGATTAATAATATAATTAAAAGGAAGAAGTGTGCTGTAAAATTAAAGAACCAGCAGACATCATCATGGGTTGAGTCACATCCAGGGCTGCCAGTGGCTATGGGTTTGTTGTAAGATGGTGGCACTCAGCTGTCTGCCAGGAGATGCCTTTCCCAATCCACAACAACACAGTGCAGTGCCAGGTCTGCCTTCTAACAACTTCTTCCTGCATGTAACACAATATTCAAGCAAAATATTCTTGACTTGAGGCAGATACTCCTCCTCCTGGCCTTCAAATCAAAGGACACACCCCCTCCTTAGGAGCAGAGCCCATAACCATTTCTCCTCCTGTGCTGCCAAGCTGGTGGCATACCTGGTAAAATCTCAGATCCTTTCCAGGCAGCAGGTAAAAATCGGAAGTCTGCTGGTAAAAAAGATGTCTAACCCTCTTAATAATAAAAGAGCTCTTGACAGCATCACTTGAAAGTATCCTAAAGGCTCAGAAACAGAAGGGAAAAGAGAGATACTAACATCCCATCCAAAAACTTGTATGTCCCAATTTTTAATTGGATCTCATATGTCTTGGAGACAGGGATTATTCTATGTTATTTTTAATGGTAAGTGTTGGAAAACCTCCAGACCCACATGACATATCTGGAAACACAAAACAAACAGGACAAACCCCATAAACAAACTACAGCAGCCTCTGGGGAAATAGGTCAAAAGGCATAACAAGGCTTCTCTTAGACAGAAGGTTAAAAAGAAAACTCATAGGGAAGGACGTGTGTTTTTCCTCATGGAATCAAGGAATAAAGTGATGTGCTCAAATGAAAATGGGCAGACTGGTTAATCAAAGAGTGTGATCTGGGTATGGCCTCTCTCCCACTCCCCTGTTGCCTGGGCCTCTTTGTTTCATCTTATCCTTATGGGTCCTTGTCACCTCTCCCATGTGCCAGCTCATGCAGTCCACATCTCTCTGACTCACGGGGCTTGTCCCAGCCTCCCTGATTTACCATCTCATGGCAATGGCTTCTGTGTAGTACTCTCCTTCTCAGCATCCATATCTGGCCTCAAGCCCCTGCTAATCTTTTTCCAGCTTGTACCTTTGGACCAAACATGAAGATCAGCCCAGAATGTCCCAAATTGAAAGGTATGTGCCAGCCCTACTCACCTTCTTAGGGCTCTGCAGCATGTCTAGGACCCTCCTTTCCCCACAGCAACACAAGTCTTAAACTGGAAAGAGTATGCAATATAGTGGCAGAAAAACCTGATGCAAAATTGTGAAATCACTTGTCCATATCCTGCCACGACTGTCTCCCCACACCCTCCTGCCCTCTCCCACATGCAGGATTATGTCCTGTCAGAACACTTCTTGTTCCCAGTCTCTTTATCCTTCAGATCTTATCTCCATCTTCCAAAAAAGATCAGTCTGGTGCATACACCTGACATTGAAATTTTCAGCTTGAATGGTTAGACTGAAGTTATATCAGAAAATAGGGTCTTCTGAAGTGTCAGACAGCTTGGACAGGCAAGTCCTCACCAGCACTGCACTCAGTGCAGCTGACTGAGTAGTTGCCACATTGAGTTAGACAGAGAGTTTTCCCAGCAGCTAAATGAAGCACTCCTCTAGCAATTTTTAACAAGGTGTTCTTTATCAGGGAATTTCTAATGGAACTGCTTACCACAGTGAAACTCACAATACCAAATGCAGCAATCAGATAATGAAAGATAAAATTTCCACCACTGAAGAATTAACACACATTTTTTCAAATTGACTGTTTAAATAAGTGACTTTGTCAGTACCATAGCTTTGGTCAGTTTTACTTACTTGATCTTTTCTCCTCTTCTAGGTAGGTTTCTGGTCGTGACAGATGAGACATGAGATCTTCAGCATCCAGGCTTTCAAGTTTTTCTTCAAGAGATTCACTATGGAATCGGTAAGAAAGACAAAAGACATAAATATAAATAACTCATTTAAGAAGTAAAAAGCAGACCAGATGTTTTATCAATTCTAATATCTGCTAGTGGGTTTTTTTCTGCTTAATGCCACTTCAGACTTTACTACAGTGGGTGTTCCTCAGAAAAAAGTCTAACTATTGCCTTTCAAGAATCAAAAGTCCCAATAAATCAGTAAATCCTTACAAAGCATCGACCAACTGAGCAATTATTGGAACAAACACCAACATTTATTACATAGTTTGCTTTGCTTTCATAGATTTCAAAGCTAGATGAGGGGGGCTGGGTATACAAAGGACATTGTAACTCCTTTCAACTCATCTAGATCTTGTAACTGATGTTGTTTTAACTTTGAAAACAACAAATCTCTCAGCTCAGCCTGAAAAATCTATGGCAAGATTTGTGTGGGGCCTTGAAAAGAGGAGGGACTCTCTTCTTTGCATGATGTAAAGTGCTGAATAGCACACAGTTGTCTAAATATGCTTTTTGTTTATTCAGTCTCTGGATGGTGAGTTCTCTCATTTTAAAGTTTTCATTCTCTTTCACTGAACCACTAAAAGCTACGTTTGGATTGCCTGACTTGAATCCCCTACAACAACAATACTGATGGTTAAGGTTGAAGTTTTCTTTGTACTGGGTGCACAGGCTGGCCTACCCTGGCACAGATCACTGCTCCCTGTGCGACCACAGAGCACTGTGGGACTTTCATCATTTCTTCCTCCCTGGGGGAATCAGTTGACCATATTGCAATCCAGACCAGCCAAGAGGGTGAATCACTGCTGCTGATCTTCTCAAAACTGAATAAATCCTCCTCTGGCACATTTGCTTTGTCACATGGCTATACATACTTTTCCTTTTTGAGTCCATGAGGTCTTAAATAAGCAAGAGTTCAGAAGCCAAACAGTCATATTTAAAAAAAATAGCGCTATTAAGCTGGACATTCCTATTTGATTTGAAATGGCACTTCCATTTTTATGTTCTACTGCTCCTAGATTTCCTTGAAGGAAATCACAACCACCAACAAGAAAATAAGTAGTGCTAACATCCCTGAAGTTAATGAAACCAAATTTCCTACAGATCTGTGTCTTGATGAAGCTCCTGAGGAGGTGCAAACCATCATTGAAACTCTTCCCATGACTGGGACACTTAAGGGATCTTTCTCTCACACTGATCAACTTGACAAAAAACAAAGTGACAGAGAACCTTTCCTATTCAAAGGGCAAGAAACATTTTTCCCCTGCTCATTTTTATTTTCCCACAAAACTTTTAGGAGCTGAAGATTTTTGACATCTTTCCTGATGCCCTTTCCAATTTTCTGAGATCAGCATTGCTTTAACAAAAATCCTTAGAGGCAGAACAGATGAGCAGATGGTCAACCTCTACAGTAGCCAATGGAGCACCAGTTAACTTAAGAAGCTGCAAGCTCAAATTCAGTGGTTAAAAGTAGAAGCAAATGAGTAATCAGCAAAAGGAGCTGCTGGGATGGACCTCTAGACTGAAATTCTGCACTGCTAAATTTCATTTAGCACCATGTGAACACTGGCCCAACAGAAATTTGGTACACACAGCAAGACTATGTTCCAAAAATTTCCATATGGTTATATGTCATCCTGGGTTTTACCAGAACCTTATGACTTCAACATTCAAACATCTACATTAATAAAACCTGCAAAACATAATTTTAAATATGAGTAATTTTGCTTGAGCATAAAGGAAACATGTCTCAAATTATTTCAGATCTTATGTATTATTAAAAATTCTGGTTTCCTCAATAAAAACAAACAAATATGCAAACAAAATAAACATAGACAAATAAAACCCAAAAAGCATCACTCCTGAATTGAAAATTTCTTATGCTACTTGCAAGTCTAGAGTCTGGCCAAGTGATGCATCCTTGAAAACAGTAGCTTATATAAGGGAAGCACAGATGTGCTAATATGTTCAGTGGTTGCAAGGACCTTTTTTTATAACATCCAACATCTGCAGATTTATTTCCAGCCTTTCTCTAATGAGATGCTATTTAGGAAATTATGGGAAATAAAGTATGCAGAGACAACACTATAAGCTAGCACCTAAACTGGCACTCAGTAGGCCCATACACATTCACATCTGCAAACTGTGTTTTAGCAAAGCTTGCTAATGACTTCTGTTTATTATCATGGGGATCCTTGTCCCTCTTTTTCCACAAAGTAATGCTAATAAAACTATAATAAAGAGAGAGGAGACCCTCACAAACACAGATCTTTCTGATTTATATTTTCACAGCATTACTAGTAGAAAGAAATCCTTTCATTTACCTGCCAAACCTTTTTGTCTGTCAGAAAAAGTGTTGCCTCAACCCCCAGATACTTTTTGAAACTCTTACAATAAAATATATATTAAAAAATACTTGGTTCTGACACATCAGTATTCAGCTGAAAAAGACCAGTGTTCTTTCACCTAGAAAAAGAAATATAATTGTCTGCATTCCACAAATAGAGAAATGATGCACACAGAGATCAGTTGCCATGTCAGAGACATGAGTGGCAGCTCAAGGACATGATCCCAGGTCTACAGAGCCTTTATTTCATTCTTCAGCTGCTTCACAGGTTCATTTTGGTCTGAACCTTCATTTTTACTGCAGGCAAAACACTGCATGTTGCCATCAGCATACATTTAGCAGCTTCAGTAGAACCAGAGATGTGCCTGGTAATGACACAGCCATATCGTTTCCAGAGGGAAAGAGAAAATATTGAAATGTTTGCAATGTGGGTTGAGGCTTTATTTCATTCTCTTTTTATTTTGGAGAGCCTGCTATGCCAGCTGCCCTGCAACATGTTCATTTCTGCAGTATCACGCTCTGATTTTAGTCATTGCTATTTCTCATATTAAAAAGAAAAAAAAAGGAAAAAAAAAAAAAAGCAAGCATCCAGCTACTATGACTCCTTCTTTGGAAGGACTCTTATTTCTCTCATTTCAATCAGAGTATCCCTTCATGACATATCGCCTTCATCTTGTCCTTTGCAATCCCACTGGAACAGCCTGCTCTTCTGCCAACATGTCTGCAGTGCCCTTCCCAACAATCCTTCAGAGATTTGCTCAGTGTCAGGAATGCAAGGACAACCGTGCCCAGGTTTCCCTGTGATGTTCCTCAGCCTCACCAATGCAGTGATGGTGGGTACTGCTGGAACACCACCTCCCTCAGGGTTGGCAGTTCTTGCCTGATCATCTCTGTGAGTAATGAGCAGGCTCATATTTTCACCTGGGTAAGGGTTAATGTCAAACCTGCGAGTGGCTCCACTGACAGTTTTTTTGTCCATCAACACTCGTAAGAGTTTGATATCTTTGAACTGTCCAAGATCCAGTCCATATAGATGAATATGCTGCTGTGCTTTTATATTCTGTAGATGTTATAAGGGCTGTGTTTGAATCTGTTGTCTCCTGACCCACAGAATCATAGAATCATAAAATATCCTGAGCAAGAAGGGACCATAATGTCACTCAGTTCAACTCCTGTTTTTGCACAGGACCATGCCCAAGAATCCCATGTGCCTGAGAGCATTGTCCAAGTGCTTTTTGAACCCTGTCAGGCTTGGGGCTGTGACAGCTTCCCTGGGGAACCTGTTCTCATGCCCAACCACCCTCAGGGGGAAAAACCTTTTCCAAATATCCAACCTAAACCTCCTCTCACACAAGTCCAGCCACTCCCTTGGGTCAAGTCTCTGGGCACCAGAAAGAAGAGATGAGTGTGTGCCCCTCCTCTTTGCCTTGTGAGGCTGTTGGAGATCACAATGAGGTCTCCCTTCAGTCTCCTCCTCTCCAGGCTGAACACCCAAGTGACCTCAGCTGCTCCTAGTATTGCTTCCCTCCAGACCCTTCATATGCATTATTGCACTTCCTATGAACTGAAGTAAGGTTTCTTAAATGATCATCTCTAACAAAAACCATCTGTGAAATAGAAATACCAAATTCAGTACACCTGTAACAAGAAAAGGACTATATCTGTCCTGAGCCTGCTGCCTCTTGCTGCAGGTGAGCATTTTGCTGGTTTTTTTTTTTTTTTTTTGGAGAGTGCAGAGGTGGCAGGGGAACAGCCCATTGCTTGTTGTTGTTACTGGGAGCCTGGAATGCCATTACGTGTTTGTCTGCTTGACACTTGATCTTGCATGACAAAACCAAAAAACAAAGGCAAAACTGAATCAGCAGATTAGTCAGCTTAATCTTGTGTAACTAAATGCTGTACTTCATTTTCAGTACTGTTATTTTCAGCTGTCCTTTGAGATGGTTATTTGAGCTTCGTTATCATTCAGCCAAGCTACTTGCCCAGGACATTCACATAAATAAGATGCAAAATATATAATTCAGCAAAATATTTCTGTTGTTCTGATTTAATCTCTTTTCATTTTGTCCACATAGTGTTAAAACCACAAGATCTTAATGCTACTAAAATGTCATTTATAACGAGAACACAATGGGCTCTCTTTTTGCTCTCATTTTAATATTGAAAGACAGTGAAAAGAACCTTCTGTTTAAGCCACTACTGTAAGTGCTAAAAGGTTTTTAAAATAACATGTCGTTTCTGAGACATTTGCAATCTTATTTTAAATATGAGAGGAAGACAAATGGTGGGAGATGCCAGTATTAAAATTGAAATCAGCTGATTCTTGCATTCAACACAGTCACAGCAGCAGCACAAATTCTTGACACAGCTCATGCAGTTCATAAGCCACATTAGCAGATACTGTCCCATAAAAACCACAGAATTTCAATCAGCATGTTTGCTGGACATGGATTTTGGTCTTCTTCATGTTCAACAATGTGACATAGGCAAGAAGTTTTCTTTTACTTGAAAGTTACCAGACTATTCAGTCCCGGTAACATAATAATTTCAAAGGTTTGTTTGCAAATGTCAAAGTCAACAGCCTTCTTTCTCAAGTAGAAATACTCTGCAGTTTACCATGCACGTTTCCTTCAAGCAAATTAGCACCAGTCACAATGTGTGATGTAGGCTTCAGTGTTTAAAATAGACTTTGCCTTTTCCTGTGAGTACATCATGCACTTGTGTGATCTTAAATGTGCAAACATGCTGCAGGTCAAAATACATAGTTGTTACATTTCATGCAAGGCTGTCAGCCGTCCGACCGTCCTCTGAGAGGACACAGCTCCTGGAGGTGAAACGCCTCCTGACTAAACATTTCCTGCTGAAGTACAGAGTGATGATATTACTTGTCCTCACTTAAATGGGGTAGTTTTGCTTTGCAAAACAAAACTATGAGAGTTCCATTAACAAAAAAAAGTTTACTGAGTTTTAGCACGTGAGATATTCCAAAACCAAAAGCATAAATCATCTTGCTGAGATTCTTGTTGATTTGAAGTTTCTTTTATCCCCTAAGTCCAGCATCCAACTCATATGAAAAGAGCTGATATTCAGAAATATTTGTGGATATTCTAGTATTATGGCCATAAATTTAAATAAGCCTTTCCCATTAATTTTGTTAGAAGTTATCTGAAAATAAAACTATAAAAATGTAGGAACAGCAATTTACCATATCCATGTTTTTTTTAGGAAACCTCAAATCAGTTTTATGAGGTATCAAATGCCATGGATGTCTGTTGTCAACAGATATGATGATCTCATAAAGAGAGTTAGGATCAGGAAGAGGATGGGAAGTACTCCTGACTGCTGTGTTTAGCTGAAATGGATGAATCTAACGTCAACCCACAAACGTATTTAGGATAGCAGTATAGTAGAGAAATGTAGCCTAAGGATATTTTCCTTATGCATTTTAGTACACTACTTCTGTTGCTATTTGCTGTCGAGCTGGTGACATTCTCCATGTTTGTGGAGATGCTAAGGAGCATAAAAACAACAACTATATAGTTTACTAAGAAAAGCATGTGCATTTCAATGATTTGATGTTTTAATTAAACACTACTGTCTGTCATACTATAAAATCAGCACTTTTATCTGCAGTAATAGCCAAGATGGAAACATTACAAGTCAAGAAATGAATGTAGTTGTAAATCTGTATTTGCAAAAAGGCATCATGTTCATACTTGAGAATCAAAACCCTTTGAATTTGACATGTGAGATCCTGCCATGACTACACCTGCACTAATCCTGTCACTGCACAGAACCGATGTGTGCAGTGATTTCCTTCTCCAGCTAAGAACTCACTTCCATGCCACACTGAGAGCTTGCACATGGCCCTGGAGGCAGCTCCTCTGAGCAAGCTTGACAACACACTGGTGCACAGCCAGGGACTCGGGTCAAACTTGTTTCCAAAAGCAGCAATCACACCTGAGTTTGCATCTGTGAGTTTGCTTCCTACGCAGCAGGGAAGTGTGACCTCAGGCTGGTCCTGGGGCTGCTCTCTGCAGGCAGCATAATCACATCCCACAGGAGATTCACCACCAGCTTCAGCCTAGATGAGGTGTTGATATCCTGAAGAGCTGACTTTGCATGACTCAAGGTAGACAGCCACAAACACTGCAGGGCCACAATCTCATCTATCTGGCTCCTTATCTGTAGTAGAAAAATAATCTTGCTGTTCTCTACCACATTGCTGTGTGGTTTCAATAGTTAATTGCATTGATGATGTGAAGAGCTGTGTAAGTGCCGTGTAGCTTTTCACCTCTGGCACATACTGGCCATGCTGCAAAGTTCACAGTGATGAGAACATCATCACCTGTTAACTCCTGCTCAGCTCCTGTAAGTGAACTGAAGACTTCAATCTAAATATAAGCTGTCAAAAATACTATAAAATGAACAATACTGTCATTGCTTAACATCTGTGTTGGTAGTTCATCATTGCAATATTCCTTAGACTCTCCCTAAGCATGGCAACTATCACCAGTACTGCAGAATTATTGTCAATTTGCTGTAATTAACTCTTCTGTTTGCAATCACAATAAAAACCAGGGAATCAAGTGGATTTATAGACTGAGTCACTGGGTGGGATGGCAAGACAACACAACTTCCTTGGCTGCAATGCATCAGCAGTAAGGAGTAAGTGATTTCCAGTGCTGCTTGCATGATCCTCACTGGCATTAGCTTGTCCAGGATGGACAAGATGTATTTCACTTCAGAATACCAAAAGGATTGAGATAAGCATAACTTCATTGGCAAACCTTCCATGAGAAAAAGGCTGTGGCACAGCCTCACCCAGGATCTAGCACAGACTGACAGGGTTGCAGCAGACGCTGTGAAATATAACTTTCACACTGATGATTATTCTTTGACATTTGTGAAGTGAAACAGTAATTTCAGTTAGTGACAATTTAAAGAGAGGTGCATCTTACAAATTTAGAATTGAATCTCAGATACTGATTGCAATTCAAAACAGGAAACGTGGTTAAATCTGAAATTCACTGAATGCTATTTGAAATACTTACATAATTTGACTAGTTTAAATATTAGAACATTTTTACAGGTAGCTAGTATATTTTTATTAACATCACATTAATTAACTGATCTTGTTTCCAGTGAATTTAAATGAAAATAATCCAAGTCTAAAGAGCCTATAGGGCTATTTTAACCTATAGGGCTATTTTCTTTACTAACATTTGAATAGGGGAAGGGGAAACACTGCTTTTAAGCAGCAAAACAGCGCACTGTATCTCTCTGGCAGAGTAAACAATTTCAGAACTGTCAAAAACAGACCAAAAAGCAACTATTATCTTCCTTTGTCATTTTTAGGCCTTGTGCCTAAACCAGTATTCTTCTGTATTCTGTATTCATTCTTTTTCTTAAGACATTTAATATGTCCTTTTAGAAGACAACGTTTTTCCCTGATGAGGAAACACAAAAGCTCAGTTGTGCTTACTCTGCTCTGCCTTCACTTCTGTCACCCTTCACTGCCACAGTTTCCCTGGCCTGTCTAAT